GGGTAGGGTATTTGCCCTGCAAGTGGGAGAGAAGAATGAGGGCAATGAGCAGGGAGCTCAGATGAGCCCTGTGAGTGTGCAAGGTGGCAAAAGGGGAGCTGTCAAGCAAGTGGAGGGCAGTTCTGGCCCCTTGCTGTCCCATTTCTGCAACAAAAATGCAGAGCTGGGTTCTCCTCGGCTTCTGCTAGGGCCAGGCTGTTAATGTGTAGTGAGATCCTCAACTTTTGGCCGGGACGTGAATCACCAGTGTCTGTGAGCAGCTTCTCAGTAGTTCCTTGCAGCTCTGCTGCTTTGTTTCTCCCTGTACCCCAAGGGACGAAGTACCTGGATGCCATTGCTGAAACGCTAAGTCTGTTTCTGTGCTCATGCAGGGAATAGTATCCTAACGCTCGGGGAGGTCCCAAAGGATCAAGTCTACGCCTTGAAGCTCAAGGGCATTTCCATCTGCTTCTCCATGCTGAAGGCCGCGCTCAGCGGCAGCTACGTCAACTTTGGGGTCTTCCGYCTGTACGGGGACGACGCGCTGGACAACGCGCTGCAAACTTTCATCAAGCTGCTGCTTTCCATCCCTCACAGTGACCTCCTGGTAAGCTGACACCTGTGAGGAGCAGCGTAAGCACGAGGCTAGGAAAGGCAGGTGGAAGATTACACGGTAAAGGAATACTTTAAGCACAGAGAGCAGGGAACTTGTGGCACGTCCTGCAACTCCAGCTAGGCACAGGCCAGCAGGAATGGGCAGTGGCAGGGCCCTAACCCTGTCACCCAAGGGCTCCAAGCCTCAGCAGAGCAATTACCCAAATAATTGCTTCTCTCCCTGAAAAATACTTGCTGTAAGTGCAAGGTGGCTCTTCCCTGTACTGCCAGCGGGCAAAGAYGCTCTTGTGTCAGCAGTTAGAGCAAGCTGCTTGCTGAAGACCTCCACCTACAGAGCCTTGCTCCTGCCCAGACCTCAGCTACAGAAGTGCCTTTTGCAGCAGAGCTTTCAGCAATGTCAGCACAGTCCTGCCCAGCAAAAAAAAAAGAGGTGTTGGATCCAACAGGTTCAATCCTGTTTTGAAGTGGCAGGGGGAATAATACAGGCTCAGAAGTAATGCTGTGGGAGAGGTTGGTTGGTTCTCATTCCAAGAGATTCAGTAAGCATCTTGAGATGATTAATCAATAGCTTGGGTGTATCCCCCTGCAGACAGCATGGCTGATCGCTCCAGAGCAGCCCAGAAGCCTCAAGTCTTTCTCTGTTTCTCTCTCTGCAGGACTATCCCAAGCTCAGCCAGTCATACTATTCCTTGCTGGAAGTTCTTACCCAGGACCACATGAACTTTATAGCCAGTCTGGAGCCTCATGTAATCATGTATATTCTCTCTTCCATTTCAGAAGGCCTCACTGCACTAGGTAATTCTTTCTGTTCTGTTGTATCCTTAGAGCTTTGGGGTTGGCCACGGGTCTGAAATGCTGTGAATTCAAAGCAGCCCGAGTAATAAATGAGTGTTGGGTTCAGGCTGTGGAAGTTGTGCACCGTTGTCTTGACTGTGGGTGATGGATCTTGGGGAAACCTGTGTTTGCCTCTGGTTTTCTGCGCTCCTAGACGGGGTACAGAAGAGGTGGAACGGGTTGTCGAGTCTAAGAGTTGCCCYGTTTCACCTCTGTTAAAGCTGAAACGTTAGAGATAACATTAGAGATTAGAGAGAAGCTAAAACATTAGAGCTAATGAGTGTGTCAGTGAGGATGTCACCAGTGGCGTGGGTTAGGTGGCTCTTGCCAAGTCCCTGAATGGAAGCAGATGATGGATGCTTCCCTCGGCGTGTGCCCGGGTGTGTGTGAGCAAGAGAAGTGCCGGCAGCGTCCCGACATCTCCCGCTCTCTGTTCTCGCAGACACGATGGTTTGCACAGGCTGCTGCTCCTGTCTGGACCACATTGTCACCTATCTCTTCAAGCAGCTGTCTCGCAGCACCAAGAAGAGGACCACACCTCTGACCCAGGAGAGCGACCGGTTCCTGCACATTATGCAGCAGCACCCGGAGATGATTCAGCAGGTAAAGAGYGAAGGGACGGGGCCGTGTTGTGGCGTGGGGGACTGCCTGGTAAGCCCTGCATTTTTCGGCCKTGACATCATGTGGGATGTTCATGATCCCTGCTGCAGAGCTCTGGGCTTTTTCTGCAGGAAAAGGATTTTCTGGCTATTACTGCATCTCTCCTGCCCATTCGTTATGTGGTAGGTCTGATCTGAACGTGCACTTCAGAGCAATGGTTTTCCCTGTGCAAGGAACACTCGCTTTTGCATTTCAGAAGTGAAAGGAAGTAGCTTTTTTTTTTTTTTTTTTTTTTTTCCTTTTCCTTTGCAAAATGAGTATGAACTGCACTGGCAATTTCTAGAAACGAAGCCAAGAAATAGCCCTTCTGTCAGTAAACGTGTGAACCTGCTCTGCTTTGATGAAGGGTTTGTTGGACGCCCTGAACAGTCCAGCGGTGCCAGTGTACTCACGGCAGAGCAGAAACCACGGGGGCCCCTGGGCTCAGCAAGGCTGTGGTTCCACTAAGCTCAACGTTAGGACCACGTGCAAGCTGGGCTTGCAGCCTGTCTGAGAAGAGGCCCTGCACCTGCCTGGCCTCAGCCTGGCCTCTGCAGCGGGAATTTGCCCAGCAAGTTCTACRTGCTGGTAGCACCTCTGCCATCCATCTCCTGCCAGTCTTCCCAGCGCCTTGGAATAGACATGGAGCTTGCTGGGACTTGGCTCCTCTGCAGCTCTCCAACATTTATGATGGCAGAAGATCAATGAACTGAAGATATGTTTACCYTGTTTCGATGCCCCACTGTGTTTATCTGTAAAAGAGAAACTGCATTTCCAAAGCAGTTGGGTCAGACCTTTCTTGTTGCTGCTGTTACACCCTGATGAGGCTGGGCAGGGGGGATGCACATTCTGGCGTGCACGGTGCCAYGGCAAGGGGAGAGCTGGGTTTGCAGGGCTGCCTTTAAGCCTCCCAACTCCCTTTTGCAGATGCTGTCAACAGTGCTGAACATCATCATCTTTGAGGACTGCAGGAACCAGTGGTCAATGTCYCGGCCTCTGCTTGGCCTGATCCTGCTCAATGAGAAGGTAACCACCCCGAGCTCCTCTCGCAGCTGGAGAAACTACCCAGTCTCATGTATAAGAGTGGTAGAAATGCCATGATGAGCTGCACCACCCGTTCCCTCTCCCTTCCTGAAGGGGTTATATTTTGCCATCCAGTGCTGAGCTGGCTTTGTTGGGAAAGCTAATCCCTCCTTCTCTTCTCCCCAACAGTATTTCTCCGACTTGAGGAACAGCATAGTGAACAGCCAGCCTCCGGAGAAGCAGCAGGCCATGCACCTGTGCTTCGAGAACCTCATGGAGGGCATCGAACGCAACCTCCTCACCAAGAACAGGGACAGGTTAGTGCGGAGGAGCTTGCCGGAGGCCCCGGGCTCCTCGTGGCAGCAGGACAAGCCGAGCCCCGGCGGCCCGAGGCGCTGCTGTGACGCGCCRCGCTCTGCCTTGTCCTTAGGTTCACGCAGAACCTGTCGGCGTTCAGGCGAGAGGTGAACGACTCCATGAAGAACTCCACCTATGGCGTGAACAGCAACGACATGATGAGCTGACGGCTCCCGCCGCCACCTGTGCAGAGCAGCGACCCTTTGGCCTGGCCCAGAGGGGTTACCGTTTCCGATGGAAAGAAAAGAGGGCGTTTCTAATCCCTGCTCTTCCCTAGGGCTGGATTGCGCTCGCTTTGACCGAACTCCACATCCCGAGGGCAGAGGGAACAGGAGGGGTTAAGCTCAGCAGGGCAGGGTGCTTCTCTTGCCAGGGGAGGGGGTGGAAGGGGATAAAACCCGGTGCAAGAATCCAGCGTCTCCCTACCCGAATGTCTGCGTGGAACGCCAGCGCTCTGCTGCAGCCTGCCTTGTAAAAACCTGTACATTTTTTCATAACATTTTGAACAAGGTTTATATTGACTCGATTTAAGAAAAAAAAAAAAAAAAAAAAAAAAAACGGGAAAAAAAAAAGAAAAAAAAAAAAAGTGTGATTGAAATTTTTACAGAGTCCTGGTGCACCAGTGCTGGCGTGAGGGTTGCGTATGCAAGTGAGGAAAGCGTGTCCTGCAGGCCTGAAGCTTTACTGGGCGAGGGGTGGGTGTGTGAAAGTGCAGAGATTTATTTAGTGACAAGTGTAGAGAGAAGCGCGCAAAAAAAAAAAAAAAAAAAAAAAAGGAAAAAAAAAAAAAAAGCAAACATTGTAAAATTCCAAATGTATATTTTTTCTTAAGCCCCTCGAACTCACAACTTCCTGTTACCGTCTTGCCCTTGTTATTAGGAACTTTAAGCCATGCCGCGTGCCCCTGTCCGTGCTTGCTCCCGGGTGTCTCCCGGCCCCGCTGTGTTAGAGCGGGCGCCGTCCCTTTGCTCCTCGGAGCTCCCTGGGCTCCCTCCCTGCGGGAGCCGCTCTCCTCTCGCCCTGGGCCTCGCTCCCAGCTGCTCCGGAGCCGGGAAACGGGGCAGACGGGGCTGCGCTGGCGGCGGYGCCACGCGCACTGGGCAGCCCGCGGTGCTCGGCCGGAGCCGCCGCCGAGCCCCCTCGGAGGGTTCTTAGTAACAAGGCTTGCCTAGCATGAAGTACTTAACACCCCCTTGAAAACGATTCCATTTTTTTTGCTAAGTCACCATAATCAATGTTTTGGATATAAAATTTACTCGCAGAGGAAAGCGGAGCGGGGAGGGAAACCCATTTGCCTTGTACTTTTTCCACTATTGTTGCTGCTAGTCGTGTGCATTCTCTAGCTCAGCTCTACCCTCCAGCCACTCAGTCCTTAGGGTTTCAGTTTCTCTCCCCAGGTGCCACCTCCTCTTTATTTTATTTTATTTTTATTTCGTCCTTGTCCTTTCCTCTGGCGATTGTGTGTGTTGGGTCCTTTTTTTCGCGTGAGCAGATTGCTGGTTGACTTGTAAGGGTGTTTGCTGCATACAGTGTAAGCATCGTGACTGCAAATAAACTTCAATGGTTTCTACTGAGCCGTGTCCATCTGGGCCTCGCCTGTACTCGGCACGTGGACCCTTTACCCCACGCTTTCTTTTAACTGTCTTGGGGCTATTAACTCTTGGGGCACAAAGGATTTTTTCAGAGGTTTATTTACAACCTGCGACCGGAGCCTGAGCTCTGAGGATGCGCGTTCAGGCCTGGGGGAGCCTCTGCCGGGGGCTGCAAGGGTCTCCCCTGCGGGGGTCTCGACTTGTGCAGCCACAGAGCGCTGGCCTCGAGCGCTGCCCCGTCCTCACGTGGAGCCCCGGGCCCGAGCGCTGCCCCAGCCTTATGTGGAGCCCTGGGACCCGAGCGCTGCCCTGTCCTCACGTGGACGTGGAGCCCCCGGGACCCGAGCGCTGTCCCGGCCTCACGTGGAGCCCCCGGGGCCCGAGCGCGGCCCCGGCCTCACGCAGACTCTCCTCCCACTGCTTCAGTCGCTGCTGCTTTGCCGGTGCGGTTGTAGACCACGTCATTACAGCCCTCTCTGTTCCGGGCTATTTCAATGGCGAAAAACTGGATTCTGGTGACTGGAAAAGAGGGGAAACGAAAGGTTTAGAGGCAGGTCGCGGTTGAAGCGGGCTCYGGGTCCCTCCGGCCTCGTCCCAACTACCACCCCCCTTCCCCGCGCGTCCCTTGGCGCCCGCGCGGCGCGCACCGAGGATGCTGTTCTCCTCGGTGTAGCCGTGGCGGCAGTCGAGGCGCAGCAGCGTGCCGAAGTTGAAGTCCTCCACGAGGCCCTCGAACTGCAGGCAGAACGGGCGCCACTTCTGCGGAGCGCGGCGCTGGCGCCGGTGTCACCACCGAGGCCGCCGGCCGCCCCCCCGGACCCCCCCACCTCACCGCTTTGGCCGCCTCCGACTTGAGCTCCTCGGGGTCGAGGCGGTCGACGCGGAGGCCGCCGAAGAGGCGGCGGAAGTCGCCGTAGATGCGCTCGTCGAGGCGCGTGAGGCGCAGCCGCGACGGCTCCACGGACGAGATGAGCTGCGGGCGCGGCGCCGGTGGCACCGGGCCCGCGATCCCCCCCCCGCCCCGGCTCCCCGGCTCCCCGCCCCGGCACTCACGTTGTAGTAGACCTCGGCGTGCTGGGCGGCGCGCGCGGCCCACAGCGCCTCCACGCCGGGCTGCGGGCACACGGCGCGGCCCGTCACGGCGCGCGCCGTACTCACGTCGTTGCCGTACGCCTCGGCCGGCAGCGAGAGGGCGCGCGCGGCCGCCGCGGCCTCGCCGGGTCCCTGCGGGGCAGAGCGGGCGGTCGGAACGGCGCGGGGGGGTGAGGGGGGGGCAGGGCCGCCCCCGCTCCCGCCGCCACGGGGCCTCACCAGCGCGCCCAAGGGCGCCGCCATGATGCTTCCGCCCGCCGTACACACACGCCCGCCGCGCGCATGCGCCGCCGCCGCGAGGGGGCGGAGGGCGCGAAGGGGCGGGGCCAAGAAGGGTGTGGCGCGTGTGGGCGGGGTCTGGCGGGGCGGGGCGCGGCGGCGGCTGGCGGGAGCTGGTGGCGCTCGCGGGGCGGGGGCGACCAGCGAGGCAGGGGTGGCACCAGAGTGGCACTCAGCGGCGCGCGGTGACACCCGGCACGGTGCCTGCGCGTGGCGGCACTCGTGGCACCTCGATTGTAGCGCACGGTGACACCCGGCACGGTGCCTGCGCATGGCGGGAGCTGGTGGCACCCGGCAGGCTGTGGTGGCACCTGGATTGTAGCGCACGGTGACACCCAGCACGWCTGCCTGTGCGTGGTGGCGCTGGTGGCACGTGGCAGGCTGTGGTGGCACCTGGATTGCAGCACATGGTGACACCCGGCACGGGTGCCTGCGCGTGGCGGCACTGGTGGCACCTSGATTGTAGCGCACGGTGACACCCAGCACAGGTGCCTGCGCATGGTGGCATTGGTGGCACCCAGCAGGCTGTGGTGGCACCTGGATTGCAGCACATGGTGGCACCCAGCACAACTGCCTGTGCGTGGTGGCGCTGGTGGCACGTGGCAGGCTGTGGTGGCACCTGGATTGCAGCACATGGTGACACCCAGCACAGGTGCCTGCACGTGGCAGCACTGGTGGCACCCAGCAGGCCGTGGTGGCACCTGGATTGCAGCACATGGTGACACCCGACAGAGCGCAGGGGCACCCAGCTGACATGGTCGCTGCGGGTGGCACCTGGCAGGGGTGGCCACGCACGGTGGCACTGCCAGGACGGGGTAACAGTGCAGAGCAGGACCCAGCTGTGACACTAACGAGGCACTGATTGGGTGGGCAGCGGCCGTGGGGCCTCTAAAAGCCGCAGCTGGGGAGGGAGCTGCAGCTGGAGGCTCTGGGGCTGGTGCTTGGGGAGCYCCCTCTCCTTTTGGAGCCCTCCTTGCTTCCCGCTGCCATTCCCAGCCCAGGATCCCGCTGCGATGTCACTCACCAGCAGCATCGGCAGCAAGTCCGAGAGACCCGTGTCCCTCATCTGGGGTGAGCAGCCGAGCGCAGCCCCTCCGGGTGCTGCAGCAGCATCCTGGGTGCTGCCTCCTGCGCCCCTGGTCCCCGTGCAGGCTCCGCCTGAGGTGCCCTGTGTCCGCAGGCTGTGAGCTGAGCGGTGCCAGGGCATCCTACACCTTCCAGGTGCCCGACGCGTGGCGGTGCGAGCAGCAGCTGGCCCTGCGCACRGTAGGATCTGCCCTGTGCCCTGCCATAGGGTTGCCCAGGGGTGCTGGGCAGGGGTGCTCCTCCGGGATTGCTCCTTGCGGAGTTTGGAGGCGGGAGCAAGGTGCTGCTCCYGGCTCCCCATTCCATGAATCGGGCAGGCTGGGAAGGGCCGGGGCGCTCGGGTGCGCCGGGCTGAGCCGGGGCCTCGCTCTCCGGCAGGGCCGCGCGGACAGGAGGGCCGTGCCGAGGAAGTAGCGCCCAGCGCAGCGGGATGCAGGTGAGGGGGACGCGTGGCCTGGGGCGGCCCCAGCGCCTTCGTGCTCCGCACCCTCCTCCCAAGGCCTTTCCTTCCCTTCCAGAGCGGCGGGAGGAGCTCACGGCCACTGTTGTCCTTTAGGGTCACGGAAGAGACCCCCTCTTTGGYGCTGTCCCCCAATAAAGGCTCTGCTGTGCACCTCCAGCCCCTCCTGTTGTGGGGGAAAGGAGGCACTTGGAGGGAATCCTGCCCTCGCTCCAGCACTTCCCGGCTGCAATTCCCGGCTGCAGTTCCCTGCAGAGGCAGGGGGCAGCAGGGACGGGTGCTGCGGGTGGGCGCTGCAACCAGCGCAGCTCCCGGAGCATCCTCGGCCAGCAGGACCCCGCGGCATCCCCGGAGCATCCCGCTGCTCCCGGCTCCATGCAGTGTCCTCCCGTGGGTGACGAGTGCCGCCCAGCTTGGGGACAATGGGGGATTAGGGAGCAGCAGGGGCCCGTTAGAGCCCCTTGCCCTACGGAGCGGTGCAACGGTGGCACTGAGCGGGGAGCAGCCGGGAGCTTTGGCTGCGCAACTGGCCTGGGAGGTGAGAAAGCAGCCAGGGAGGGTTAAACTGGGGCAGTAGCAGCGAATCTGCCCCCAGCTTTGGGCTACCTGCCCCGGGCAGGGGCACCTGGGGCTGCTCTGGTGCTTTCCCCTGCTCTGCGTCACCTCCCCTGCCCGGGGAAACTGAGGCAGCGGTGCCTCGGCAAGGGGAGGGTCGCCAGCACCGGGGATGCCTGGAGCTTGGCCCGAGCCCCCGTGCCGCTGCTTTTTGGGGCGCTTTGGAAAAGCAGCCGCTGTTAAAACGTGCTGCTCCACACCAGCACCCTCGGCGGCAGCACCTGAATGGAACGGCCACCCCACYGCCGCATTCGGAACCCTTTTTTCTCCTCTTTTCCCCCAAGGTAAATGCCTTTATCCCTTTGCAAGTGAGAAGGGAAGGGAGCTGGATGGAGCGGGCGCTCCGGCTGTCCCGGGCTCTGCAGCGGGGAAGGAGGCCCCGCGATGCCCTAAGGGACACGAGGCGGCCCATTCCCATGGGCAGTGATATTCCCACCCGTAGCCAACTGCGCTCCGAACCAGGCAGCTGCAGAGGTGGCCGGGAGCTCGTGCCTTGTCCCTGCCAAATTCCCGCAGTCGGAAGCGCTCGGCCCCGGAGCCAGCGCCCGCTCCGGGGAGGTTGGCACCATCCTGCTTGTGGCCTAGGCTGTGCCATGGGAATCCAGCCAGGAGATGCCGGGGAGCATCCAGTCGGGAGCATCCAGTCGGGAGCATCCTGGTGCCTCCCGCTGCAGGCTGTCCCGGACAACTTCACTTTATTTTTCCCTCTGCAAACCAAGGGGGAGAATCAACCGTCTCCTAATTTTAACCAGTCCATGAGGGAGCAGGACACCGCGAGCGACCAGCTGAGCCGCAGGCGGATCCGGGAGTACCAGCTCTGCAGCCGGACCGGCGGCAAACACGTCCAGGTCACCGGCGAGCGGATCACGAGGACGGTGACAAGTTCGGTAGGGACCCGCGGGGCTGAGCGGGCTCCCGATGGCCCTGGTGGAGCCGAGCGCAACCTCGAGCTGGGGAGCAGCGTTTTCCCAGCCCGGAATGATGGTTCGGGAGCTTGGCCCGCGTTGCCCGTGGCCCTCGTGACAGTTCTCGTTGCTTAGGGACCGGGTTCAGCTCCGGTTAAAAATCGTCGTTCCAGCTCTGCCTCGAGGCGGATCGATAGGGCTCTATGTGCTGGCCTGGTGCCATTTAAAGGGCTCCCTTTTCCATCTGGATTTATTTTTATTTTTTTTTTCCCATCACTGAGAAAAAAAATCCTCCTTCCCCTATGGGGTCAGGGTGTCCTGGGCACCTCCGGATCCCTCCGCTCATCCCGTCTCACACCCCGACACAGCACAGACCCTTCCCCTGCAGCCTGCAATTGCCCCCTAAAATAACAACTCCCAAGGGAGCCAAGCAGCCCTGAACCCTGCTTTTCCAGAGCCGCCTTCCTCCCTCGCCTCGTGCAGCAGGGATTTCCCGAGTCCTTTGGCTTCATCTTCTCTCCTCGCTCAGGAACAGGGAGCAGAGATGCAGCCTGGCGGCAGCCCCTGAAATATTTATGTGCCCAGGGAGCCGAGGGAGCGAGCGCGGGGCCGGGCCGGCCGCGGGGCACCCGCCGACCTGGATGTGCCGGGCGGGAAGGGGCTGCCGCTCCCGGGCATGGGCTGCAAGGTGGGATCCCGGGCACGAGTCCCGCTGTCCCCGCAGCCACGCTCATGGTGGAGACGGGCACGTTCGTGCACATCAAGGGTGCCGAGAGCGAGCAGTACGTCTGCATGAGTAGGGGCAAGCTGGTGGGCAAGGTGGGCAAGGCTCCTGGCCCCGCTGCCGCCCTGCGCTCCCGCTCCCTCGCGCTTCCCTAGCGCATCGGCAGGAGCAAGGAGTGCATCTTCACGGAGGTGGTGCTGGAGAACAACCACACGGCCTTCCAGAGCGTGCGCCACGAGGGCTGGCACAGGGCATGGGATCCCTGTGTCCCTAGAGCCTTGGACACCCCGTGTCCCCGTGTCATGCTCCGTGGCCCCCGGAACAGGGGATGCTCCATGGTCCCTGGCCCTGGAGCTGCTCTGTGGTACCCAGCTCTGAAGATGCTGGAGCCATCCCAGGGACACCCCCAGGCTCTGCCGCCGTGCTCAGCAGCCCTCGCTGCACCCTGGACGTGTTTCCTGCACTGTTGAGGTCTGCAAGCCCTGGGCCGTGTTCCTGGCTCCATCCTGCTCCGCACGGGCTCGGCTTCCAACACCGCTCCGCTTCCCTGTCTGGACACTCATCCCTACACCTCCTGCACACTCAGCAAGTGCTTTAGCCCTGCAGTGCCCAGCAGAGTGCCAGGCTCATGGGACCCCGTGGAGAAGCAGGGCCACCACTTGTCCCTGTGGGCTCTGTTAATTATGGAGCTGGAAGCGCCTCTCCAGKGGCGCTGCTGCCAGAGGAACCCACTGCAATTTGGGGATTGCTCGTTCCTCCAGAGCCACGAACTGCGCCCCTTCCATACCCCTGTAAGTCAGTTTAGGGCCTAGACCCTTAGACCGGGGAGTTATATATAAAGAAGGGAAAGCCCTTGGGTGAATAAAAGCGATTTGTCCACAGGGCTGCACTCGCTTGCCCATCACTTCACCTGGCCCAGGGGCCGGGATCCGGCACACGGCCAGGGRCACTGGCAGCGGGGAGCAAATTATAACAGTGGGAGTTAAATGAAGCTTTAAAGCAGCGGCAAAACGCAACCCCCAGCAATTACGGGCGCACAGTGCCCTGGCACGGGTGGTCCAGGTGTGCCRACAGGAATCAGCTGCGTGCCTGGCTTAATTTTTGCCCTCTTGTTTCCTTCGGCCTCCTGGCCACAGCTCCGTGTTCCCGCAGGAATCTGCGACATTCTTTAAGCAGAGTGCTTTGAAAAAGGGCCCATTTGCTCTGCCTCCGCTGTCCCCTCCCCGATTTAACCCCGGCTTCAAAGGTAGAGGAGTTCCCTTTGTGCAACCTCTGCTTTAATTTTCCCCCATCCCTTTTTTCCCCTTCTCCTCTCCTTCCCAAGCCCTTCCTCTCTTTTCTTTCAGGGCTTTCCCCTTCCTCCCCTCTCTTTCTTCTTGCCCTCCCGGCATAGAAAGGGCTCGGAAGGGCAACTCCTTTTTAATTATGGCCAGGGAAGAAAMCCCCCACACTGGTTCATTCTTGTGTTTCGAGGTGAGACCCGGGAGGGAGGCAGGAAAGCTCCCTGTGCAGAAAGGGCACTGGAGGATGTCTCATCCCATGCCTTTTCCCAGGGTTTTTCTCCCCATTGCTGCCTTGATGGGGGGTGTCAGCGGGAGGTGATGCTGGCTGGGATGAAGGGCCGGGGGGGCAATGCCAGCTGCTCCTCCGTGCCCAGGCCCTTGCACCAACCCTGCTAGTGGTACTTGGTGCCAGGGCCACCAGTCCCAGCAGGGATGGGGACCACGAAGCCTGCTCAGATCCCTGCTCCCTCCCCAAGCCACAGGTGCCTGAGGGAGGGGACCCTGGGGACAAGCGCCGTGGGGCTGCCCCACCATCACCCCCCCAATCCAGAGCTGCAGCCCCCCGCCTCCCCGCAACGGGGCTGTTGCAGCAAAGGCCTTTGGTGGGTGGGGGGGCCGGGCCGGGCCGGGGGGGCGGCGGGCGGGAGGCGGTCGCTGTAGCAACGTGCGGGGCGGCGCAGCGAGGGATGCTCGGCGCTCGCGTGGCTCCTGCCGGGGAGGCGACACCGCCCGCCGCCCGCCGCGGCCGCCCCTGAAGGTAGGCCCTGTCCCCGTGCCCCCCGCCTCGCCCCCGGCCCCGCCGCA